AAATTCTACAGTTATGCCGGTTAATCTCTCCATTAAGTAAAAAAGTGCATTCGTCAGAAAAGCACACGTTGTACAAGAAATTTGGGTTATTGTTGATACGCTCGGCTATAATTTCGCAAAACTCTTGCCTTCGATCCCAATCATCATCATTTAATTCATTAATTAATTTAATTTTGCACGGATGGAACTTGTGTCTATGTAAAATTCTGAAAACGTTAGATTGACTAATACCGGAAACTGCAGAAAGTTGTCGAACAGATTGCGTGTTTGACATAAGTTGGACATGTCCCAATACCGCCACAGCGGCTCCTTCATCATTCACAATTCCAATGCCCAGTGCCCTTTTCTTATCCATTACTGAACCCGTCTCCACAAATTTTGAAATCAATTCCAGTACGTACTTATGGCGAACGTTACGTTCAGGATGGTTTTGGTTAAATATTCTTTCAACCGCTCGGGAACAATTTTGAATTTGGTATTAAAGGCTAACCAGCTCAACACATTCTTGCAATGTGTACACCATATTTTTTTTAATTTTAAACAAATTAGCAAAGTAGTAAATCAACAGATTGATTTCAATTCTGAAATGATCGAAGAAACGTTACAACCAGATAATCACCTTGTAAGCACAAAAAAATCAAGGCAAGATAAGGAAATGTTTTGCGGTTTTTTTATTTATTAGTTTGAGAGAAAGTATTGTTGTATGGAAGTGAATGGAGGACAATTTGAACATTGGATTTAAACACGCATGTTTGATTTTTTGATTGTAAGCACAATTGAATTTTTCAAAAATGTAATTTTTTGACGATTGTTTGAGTTTGTAAAAAAGGCTTAATAAAAATGGGCTTGTACATTGGTGGCTCATTCGAGCTGCAAAATAGATTTTTGGCGAAAACGGTTCATCAAATTTACCTTTTTCATACACCGTTGCAAAGAGGCTTCCAAGACTCTTCAAATAAAGTATCACTCAACCCCTCTCCCCTATTCAAGTTGTTTGAGGGGTTGAAGAGCCTCCTATATATACGTCAAAAGATGTCCCCCAAACAAAGTCATTCGACGTGTTTCGGGAATTTTTTCCACTCAATATGGGATAAGAATATACGGGGTGGCTCGCCTGAGATAGAACACCCTGTATATGTTGGCTATGACTGGTGAAAGTGGCGATCCCATTGGCAGTTCCTCATCTTGTGTAAAGAATTCGTCCTTCAGTTGGAAATAACAGTTTCGTACACAACATCCTAGTAATTCCATAATTACTTCTATAGGTAAATTCGTTCTATCTTTCAGGAACTTGTTTATATCTATACGGTGCTACTACCGATAAAATGGGGGCTTGATGTGGATGAACAAGATATAGTTATCGGTTTGATTTGAAAGAATCATATTTTTAGGGGTGACTAATTTTTTGGGAAAGATAGTTTTTGGCTTTCTACTACTCCATCGATGTTTCGCCGTAAGACATTTGCCTTAGGGCTCTTCAGTACCAATCTGAATAACATTATAAAAAAACACACACAATTCATTCATAAATTACGATTTTTTATGTCACGGAATGAGTTTGATCTAATTATGGCATCGATGAAATCGTAATGACATTAATTCACCTATTTGATTAAATCCCATCCAAAAGGAATCTTGTTTATTTGAAAGGGTTATATTTTTAGGAGTGACTAATTTTTTGGGAAAGAAAGTTTTTGGCTTTCTACTACTCCATCTTGATACAGAAAAATGTGGGAATCTTCCAAAAAAAGGAAGGCGGTAATCAATTTTAAAAGTAACTTTATACATGTTAGGAATCACACGTTAAAAGGTAAGACCTCATTAATCCTCAGCTCGCACAAGTTTCGACTTCTGAGGGTTGTCGTTCGTAGGGGTACGACAGCTGGTTAACAGAAAAACAGATTTTAAACATAGATGTGTAGATCATGTAAAGTAGTTACTTCCAGACACAAATTGGAAGAAAAGGCCTAGCTGAAACAGCCACTTTCATACAAAAATTGAATTACACTTACATGGAACATGGCTTTCTACTATTCCATCTTGTGTATTTGATGAGAGGGATGAGTTTACTGAATTAGTCAGTCATCGATAGTTTATTAACATCGACAGAAAATGTAAACACAATAGGTGTTGGAAGATTTGCAGTAGAATTTAAGCAGACCCACCCAAATACTTTTTGAACTTAGAATGGTGATTCTAGTATTCGTTTAAATTGTGAATTGTTGTCAAAATTATGGCTTTTCATACCTGTTCTCCAATTTAGAATGGATGTATTGAATATTCTTCAATTGGTAGAAGAGTCGGATATAATCAACTGGTCATTGGAAGTAGGTACTAGAAACAAAGAAATTAATCTCGAAGTATATACTCACAAGCATATTATTAGATATGATAAAAAAAGTTACATTTGGTAAACATTAATTTGCTTTTCTCATGGAATTATGCTTATCAAGCGGTTAAATGCAGCCCATGGGAAGTAGGACTGGACCTAATAAGATTCCAACATCGTATTGAGAAATCAGCCACATGTATAAATCATTTTTTAGATATTAATCATAGAAATAAGGTGTATAAACAAATTAAATACATATATATTTACATTCTTTATTATTTTTTTCTTACATTTCAATATCTTTTTCATTTATCCAAGAATTAGATGAATCGGATCCCAATCATTTAACGTTACGAATAACTTTTTCTACCAGATGAATATCTGGGTACTTGGATCAGTCAGCCTAACTTATTTGATTTTAAACACTTCAGTGGTCCAATTTGGATTATGAGACTTATTGAAAGCATATCGATATTTGGATATGCAAACCTGGTCTCCTTTCCTAAACTTGGGTTTTTTGGGTCAACAGTTTTTAGATGTTGGATTAAATTGATGAATTTAGCATTTATTTAATTTTTTTGTTTGCTATCGCCTTACTTGTGGAATGTTTAGTGTTGTTGAATTTTTTTACAATTTCAGGAAGAATGTTGATCCTTGATAGCTAAATTGTTTCCATAATGATGACTTTAAAAGTTTTGATTACACGTTCACAGATACTAGCTTTTAAATTTGAAAAAGTACTATGATGGTTTACATCATATTCCTGCATCAGATTTTGAAAGTCCTTGTAAAATTTTTTCCCCATATTAGTTTGTATGTTTTTTGGTATAGTGCTCATTTGTCCTAATACAGATTTCATAGCAACAATGATATCTTTACCCAATTTTGTTTTCACTGGTACAGCCTAAATATATTTACTAAAAGCATTGATGATTACAAGAATGTAATTATATCCTTTGTTTTCTTTTGTAAATTGATTCATAATAGCAAAATCGGCCTGCATTAGGTCATGCAAATTTTTTTTAACATGTCGTCTCTTGTAATTCTTTCTTACTGGCTTATGGAGTTCTGATCCAATCTGCCACTTACTCATCTCTAACTGTCGGACACTATAATGAAATCTCAATAGAAATCATTGAAGATGTTCCTAGATTGAATATCATTTCATCTGTTAGCGAGTTGATGAAATTTGTATCATTATTTATCAAAACGTCGTCCATCTTTATTATCTTCATCTTGTGCTTTGCTTTTCATTTTAGAAAACTTGGGAAATTTGAATGAAAAATCATCTTTATTTCTTTTTTGTCTGTCAAACGGATTGAAACTTTAACAAACATAAAATGGAAAATTCAATTTTATTGAAGAGGTGATGTTAATAGTGCTTCTTTGTCTCCCCGAAGTTTGAAAAAATGTTGAGTGAATCTATTCAAATGCATTAAATATAAATTGAAAGTTCAACCCTGAGAATGTTATTGTGAGAGTGACAACACTTCATCTTCAGAATCGTTTACAATTCGAATGAGGAAATAGTGGGAAAATTTAGAATATATACAAATTGGAATTGTTGTCGAGTACTGAATGAGTATTACTCAGTAGTACTAGTAGTGGTACAGAAGAAAAAAATGTATTTGTAAAGCTATCAAAATTATAACTAGAATTAAAAACAACCCGGGTGGAATTTTAAATTCGCCTATACTTGAAACCTTTTGACAAAAACAGGATGAAATTAGAAAATAAACATGATGATGATCAGAAAATTGACTCGTTTCAAATGTGAAAAAGAAGAATAATTTGGAAGATAAGCAGGCGGACGATCAAAATTTATGTTACGTGTCAGATCTTAAAAACATTATGAGTCAGCAAGAAAAGAATTGGGAAGCAAAGGTTTTTAAAAATGTGAAACGTTTTTGTTTTTAATAATTTTTTTATTTTCAGTTTCAATTAACATTCAACATATTAATCTTTTTCCAAGGGCATTGAATTACAAATTCAATGTAAAAATTATTGGACGCAAGTTTCTTTGAAGTTTCTAGAGGAAATTGAATAGTGTCACCTTTGTCGAGAATATTATGGTACAAAAGATTGTCTAAAGTATCGTTTTAATTGTGATATGATACTTTCCATGCACTAAGGAAATATTGAAATACTTTCAACTTTTCCTGTAATCGGAATCGTACAAGTAGTAGTATTATTGCCCAATATAAAATGAGTGACTGGAAGAAAGGTTTTTGCTACTGTGAAAAGTTAATATACATTTACTGTAAAATTTAGAAGGTTGACAAATAAAAATGGTAAATCTGTTTCTGGTGATGGTAGTGCTGTAACGATATCTTCTTAAGAAAAAGAATTGGTAAGAAAATAATGATTCAATTTTTTCAGTGGCATTTTGAATACTAAGATATAACAGAAAAAAATAAAGGAATTCAAAATATGTTGGTGCCAAATGGCGCCATGCGACTAATTTTGTCACGATTCTCTCTAAAAATACAGACTACATTAATAAAGATACGAATTAGTGCCTTCATGGTACACAACCATCTTTTTTCTCTTTCAAATTCATTGTTCATTAACATGTATTTTTATAATCATATAATTGTTCTTAGTTAACAAACGCATTATTATTATTATCTTCTTTAAAGTATCATCAGTTTAATGATGAAAAACAAAGTAAAGAAAACCTTATTTTATTTGATTTATTGACACCAATTACAAAATGAAAAATTATGATTATTATATGCTCTATCCTTCATAGAACTTGGGTAGATCATCGCCTAAGATGACACGACGTTCAATTCCCGACTCCGTAATTATACCTAGACGGATAACACCTCCAGATGATCCATCTCTAGACATTGCAAGAGCCAGAGCTGAAAAAATACAAATCATTTCTAAAACGATCATAACATTTTTTTTTCATTACGACAAAATGTTTATTGCTCTCCATTCCTCATAATTTGCTAATACATAGACGCTAAAACTATTGGCCCAACCAAAATTTTGCTACGCTTTCAAACTTCATAACTTTCAACGTAGGAGATCGATTGCATGGATTTTTTTTCATTTCATAGAATAATTCGTTGGATATATTTTTAGGAGAGGATAATTTTTGGGAAAAAAAGGTTTTGACTTTCTGCTTCTCCATCTTTTTATATAAAAAATGTGGGAATCTTTGAAAGAAAGGAAAAAAGCAATTGATTTCAAAATGAATTATTTACAAAGATGTGTAGATTATGAAAAGAAATAACTTTAAGTCACAAACTTTCACATGGAACACTGTCATCTTCAATGGCAGATATTGATGTTTCGGTATAGGACACTTGTCTTATTGCCTATTCAGCACCAATCCACATTGTAAATTTTACTATAGGAAGTATCAACTGCGTGTTTGACGCATTCACCAATGAGTTCGGAGCACTGAATGGGGGCAAAAAAAATGTTCAATCATCTTCTAAAATCAGATCACATCTAGATTAGATCTAAGTGCCGCCTGACTGAATTCATAAAGCCTTGTCTGCTAACTGCCAACATTTCTGGATGATGAATTCCTGGATGATGATTTCCGATGAGTACTGATTTTCACTGGTACAGCCCAAATATATTTACTGAAAGCATTGATGATTACAAGAATGTAATTATATCCTTTGTTTTCTTTTGCAAATTGATTTTTTTACTGTTATTTTATCTTCGATGCTTGTTCCATATTTTTACTGGGAATTTTAATACCTACCTATTTTATTCGTTTCACACTGTTATTATATTCTTTATATATTTTAAGTTATTGATATACCACATGTACATAATGTACCACAGTGGCAAATAAATAAATAAATAAAATATTAAATAAATTCTGATAGTACATTGACACTGCATTAACCTTAACTGATTTTTTTCATTACAGAAGGAATAACGTTCTTAATTCATTAATCAGTCCTTTCTCTATTTTGCTTCAGAGATTTGAGCTCGTTTAAAAAAGCTTTTTTTGTCAAGCAATTTCTGTTCCTCGAATTTATTTCTCAATTCACTAGATTTCCAGCCGTTTATTGCACATGAAATTGATGGAATAATATTGTAACTGAACAGAAAGTCATCAGGGTTGACTGAACAGAAAGTCATCAGGGTTGACTGAACAGAAAGTCAACAGGGTTAATTCAAATTCAACCCTGTTGAATTCTTTTATTTTTCACAAAACAATGTTCTAGCGAACTGTTACAAATGTTTGCTGGCAACATTAATGAATCAATGGAATTCTGGATCTTTTGAAAATATTAGTCGTTACACCTATATACAAAATATGATAGAACCTCAAAATCTATTTCCCTAATCATTGTTTTAACAAATATTTTAGAAATAATATTCATTACTGGAGTTTTTTCCCAACACCAAACCGTTATTTTAACGTGTTTCGATCTTCCCCTTGAAGATGATCACTTGGTGATCGAAACACGTGTGAAGGTGTTTAAATAAGGGTTTGGTGTTGGAAAAAAACTTCAGTAATATTGCTTAATGACAATTGATATGGATTCTGGGAAAATCACTTAACAGAAAGTTTCCACTGTCTTCATCCAGCTTATAAATAAAATGGAAAAGAAAGTATTCAGACTACAAAGGATGATTTTTAAATCTCATACTTTCTACAACCTGAAGTTTGTTACAATTTTGGAAAAAAATATCAACTTAAAATTGTTGAACAGAAAACTTAGCTGCATATGATCATTTCTACAGGGCTGTAAATTATTCATCAAGTTAAACTAATATATCATTCAATTACGAATAAAATTTCTTAGGCAATATTCTCAATCAAAATCTTATTTGTAAAAAAATATTGAATATGTCCTCTGAAATAAATGATCATTACATTGCCCTAAATAACCTCATACCCTGCTTGAAAGAAAATGTATTGATAAATGTATACTATTTCTTGTTTATCCGGTAATAAGTTATATTTCAGCATATGGTCTGGCTAATTCTAGTAATAAAGTTTTTTTGCCCAACAGGCTGACACAGCTGTTTACCGGTGACTCTTAAATTGAAATCAAATTGGGAATGATCAGAATAGTACTCATCTTTATCTTTTGATTTTCATGGAATTACTTTCCAGCAGCTTGACAGCATTGAACTTTCTTAATTTTATATCATTTCTAGAAACATGTGGATTCGTTTTCCGATGGCATTCCAGCAAAGCTTCCCAGTTATTTTCATTACGTACTTTTCTTGGTTATTCACATTTTGTCTTCAATCGAGGACTGCCTGCCTGGTACTGACGATGCCCAATAGGCTAAAACAGCTATCTACAGGTGGCATTTAAATTGAAATCAATGCGGGAATCATTAGAATAGTACTTATCTATTTGTCTTTTGATTTTCATAGAATTATTTTCCAGCAGCTTGACCGCATTAACCTTTCTTGATTTCATATTCACTTATCAGATGCTCACTTTTTTTCTCAGTGACCTTTTGGTATAGTCAGGTGACTGTTGTTCTGAATCTTGCAAATTAGGTAAGATCTCTTTGTGGGGAAGCAAGTTGAAATAGGAACATACATTTAAGGAGAGACGACGCCATTGACATAATGAGGCAAGTTATGCTTCATAATATACCAACGAATCATTCTATGAGATGAAAAAAGTTCCATGCAACCCTATATAATAGTAATGAAGATTTCAAAAGTACCAAAATTTTGGATGCGCCAGATTTTTTATCCTTGGTGAAATCAACGTATTTGAAAAATACAACTTACTATTTGTGACAAATTTCGCACATTCCTCCTTTGACATCTTGGGTTTGAAATTAGCATCTACATAACCATAAACATAACTGGAACCTGAACCTCCAATAGAAACCGCTTGCCTAACACACATCCCTCCGATAGGAATAGAATAAATTTGTCCCCCCTTTTTTTTGTCCCAGCCAGCAACTAGGATTCCCGCCATGAGAGAATCCCTATAGTTGTAGCAAAGCTCCCTGAAGATAGCAGCCCCCACCTCTACAAGGGGCTCTTCTCCTAGTTCCATACTAAAAATTTTTTGGTAACAATATCTGGTATCATTTGACATTTTATTCTTTTTGATAAATATTCAATTCAATGGCTAAGCGCTATTTTTTTAAATTCTGTCTGATTTTGACGTATTTTTGTACACTACTAACGAATCTGAAAACAAAACTTGTCGCTTCAATTTACTTTCTTTAATGAAATCGATCAATTTATAAACTCTGATAATCTTCTGATAATCAAAATAACTGAATAGAATACAATTTATATGGAATACTCATAAACTTTTTCGTGATCGCATGCTGCAAAACTTTATTCTCCCATTTCAAATGTTTTCACCAAAATAAATCTTTTTTGAAATCATGTTCTAAATGATATCTTTGCAAAATTATGAACTAAGCTTTGAGTTATATAAGAGAGAGGAGGTGCAAATCAAGTGGATATCTCAAATTGAAGTGTGTCTTTTGAATATGTTATATTTCTAGAGGTGACATTTCTTTTACTTATAAATACACAATGTAATAATGTTGATAAATTCAAAGAAAGACATTGAAAAATAGAATAAAGAGTTCTGGCAACAAATCTAAATGCACGTGGATCCTGTGCAATGAAATAAAGGGTCAAGTATAGAATTCTGTTAGCAATTTAAATAGTGATCCTGAGGACATTGCAAATAATTATAATAAATATCAGTTTAACTTCACAACTTGATAATATTACATTTCAATGGAAAAAAATCAACTGCACTGATATTGTAACTGTAGTAAATAAAGTAAAGGACACATCCCAGCCTGCCATTAAAAAAGTTGCACCAGTTATTTGTGATATTTTATCATATTTGTTGAACTATTCATTTTCACATAGAATATTCCGTACACAGTTGAAATCAGCTATTGCGAAACCAATGTATAAAAATAGGTGATTCTCAACTGTTTGAAAATCATAGACCCATCAGTGTTCTACCTAGCTTCTCTAAATTGTTCAAGTTAATGATGATTATTAATAAATCATCAAAAAATTTATAATAATTACAATTAAACTGTAATTGAAAAACAATCGCATTGGGTATATGACTGTCTCAAAAGCAATATTCTAATTATTAAACTAGATCGGTATAGTATTAGAAGTAATACAATAAAGTGGATTTGTTCACAGACTACAGAAAGTATATATTAATTCGGGTTATCAACAAATCGAATTTGAGTCAATTTCCAAAATAAAAAGACATACTAAGGTCAGAATTTTTTGCTTCACAAATAATGGGCGGCATGAATCCCTGTAGCTAGCCTTGCATAAATATCTGATGGCTCTTTTTTGTAGAGAGAATACCATATTGAAACGAAATTTTGCACAATTTCCCCAGAAACAAATTCCATAACGTAAATAGGTTATTCAATGTGTGTTTGGGTATTGTAATGCCCAAAGATGCTATTGTATAGCGAAATATGTGTTGCGGTTTTGTAAACTTTCAAGTGAAAATCACATATTAAAGTGTTTTTTTGAATACGATTTCTTTAACACTGCTAACAGAACTAACGGAAAAGTCCCTTGTAAATATTTCATTTACTTCAATTTACTGTATAGAAAAAATGGGAGTAGCACGTGAATAAAAGTATTATTATTACTCTTTATTAGCAAATAATGCTCTTCATAGTACAGTCTGTCACTTATAAAATACAAAACAATAAAAAATATATAAAATTAGAGACAAGTCACATTTTAAAAACAGGAAACTGTGAAACGACGAATTATTGATGACAATTACTTGAAATATATTCACTACATTTTCTTTTGAATGAATTTAATGAATCACAGTTTTTTATATGACTTGGCAAATTATTAAATGCAATCAGACCAGAACTATACAACGAATCACAACCTATATGTTCTCTGTTGATATAAAAATTTCCTATTCTATTTCTAGTGGAGTGTGTATGAATACTATTTGTGTAGGTTAACTGATCACTCAGATAATTTGGCAACATATTGTGTTTAATTTTAAATATAAATATTAGCATATTCAGTGTTATCCTTTGTTTAGCAGACATAAGAGACAGTGTTTCCAACATGTATTGCACAGATGTGCGTTCATTACAACTAAATATTGCCCTCATGGATCTGTTTTAAAGCTTCTGTAGTCTGTTTAGATTTTCATTGCTCACAAAATGGAGTAATGTACTGCAATAGTCAAAGTGGGGTGCTATTATTGATTTATAAATTGTTCTGCAGCATGTGATCATAATTTTACAAGTTTATATTACAGGACGTACATTCCTGTAGTTTTGACTTTTATGTAGCAGTATGCCAACTTCTGAATTTAGATATATGATAAACAGATGAAAAAAAGTAGTGCAAACCTTTAAACAAATATATACCCTTATTTTACTTACCCATGGAAGTTCAGATGGTACGATACAATATCAGCAATGGCTTGAGTATCTGCTGCTGATCCAGATCGACAACAATATATATGGTCAGTTACTTTAGTTAGTTTGTCAGTTACACGATTTGCAATGTACGCCCTGAACAAAATAAAACAAAAGTTTATTATAACTATGCAACTCTATTCAATATGAGTCTATTCATGAGGATCTCGTAAACACTGAGAGAAAGATACTTCATAGACCTGTATGAAAAATATAAAATTTTCATATTATTTTTTTCTGTATATTTTTTATTCGTCGAGATAATTTCTTTCAGATAAAACTTTTCACAATTACAGGGCTTTATATCTATGAATGGATGAAATTTGTTCTAAAGGACAACACTACTATGAACCTTACTTGCCACATCTGTTGTCAAAGCTATTCACTGGATTTGTTGGCCGTGGTCTACTTTGAACCTTACTTGCTCTATTTGTTGTCAAAGCTATTCACTGGGTTTGTTGGCCTGATATGGAAGACATTATCAAAGGTGACGAGGTAACTAGTTGTTCTTAAAGCAAATACTACTACAGTATTGGTTTGGGTCTCTGAATTTATTTCACTGGGGGAGGGTGTGACATCGTTCCTACTGGTTGAACTGAATTACCTTATACAAAAACTGTAATAACTTCTTTGAAGAAAATATGTTAGTTGCTTCATCAACTTTGGTAATGTCTACCGCAGTTGCAGACTCAACATCAGGTATAGAAACCTGCAGACCACAGCCAACAATTCCAATGAATATCTCTGATATCATTTTTTGATCAGCAATGTTTTAAAAAAATCTGCAGATCACGGCCAACAACTCCAGGGAATAGCTTTGACATAATTTTACACATTTTGATCAAAAAATTAATTGAAAAAATACAGGTTTATTTGAAAATTTCAAACCAGGTAATTGAATGTTCCCTTGACAAATTTCAATTAACTGTTTGATATCACTGCAAATTGAGAACAAAAATCGCCAAAGTTTATATCATTCAATATTGCTGGAAAATAGCAAACTTCTCCACAATATAACCTACTCTTGGTGTGTTTTATTCACACTAGTTTTTTTTTTGGATCTATCATTCTCATCAAAAATTAAGGCGCGTTTATGAAAAAGTAAGATGAAATAATAAATAAAAAAAAGGAGTGAAAATGTACACATTTAAAAATTAGAAATAAATATGATAGTATAACTACGGCAATACGTCACATAAAAATTTACATTGATGAAAAAAAGTAAACGGGAAATCTTGAAAGTAGGTTGTCAAATATTCAAAATGAAACGTCAATTACTGAAATGTCATCAATAGAAACTACACCTGAAGTTAGGAATCACACGTTAAAAGGTAAGACCTCGTTAATCCTTAGCTCGCACAAGTTTCGACTTCTGAGGGTTGTCGTTCGTAGGGATGCGACAGCTGGTTAACGGAAAAACAGATTTTAAACAGATTTTTTACACCTGAAGTAGATAAAACAGAATTACGAAAAAGCCAGTCTGGTTTGATGACTTTGAAATCTACATGGCACTAAATACAGTTTCAATAACAGAAATATACCAGAAAACTATATAATTTATGGGTGCAAAGGATGGAAAAATGCATTGAGAATAATTACCAGGACTTTAGTCGACTGTCCTGAAAAAGTGAAAACTATAAAAAGAAAGTAGGTTTTCAAGCATAAGAGAAATGTAAATGGGCACGTAGAGAGATACAAAGCTAGAGTAGTAGCAAGAGGTTTTCAGTAGAAAGAAAACTGCCTTTTTGAATGTATAAATGGAGAATAGATAGAATGGATTGTAAGAATGGAAAAATTTGCAATGGAAAAATATGCGAAATATGCAACTTTTCAATCAATACTTACAGAAAATCAGTTTTGACAGATCTGTCAGTGATAACTGTTTATATACCAAATTCAGTGATGATGAAATAAAATGTTTGACTCATTTTGTCGATGACTTACTTCTTACTAGAAATACCCAAGAAAGAATAAAGAAAGTGAAAAGTGAATTAAAAATAGAACTTCATATGAGTAACCTTGGTGAAGTACAATTATATAGGTATGGGTATGCACATTCAACAAAATTTAGAGAAAAATGAGCTGGTTATGAGTCAGAAACAAAATATTGAAAATATTTTGTGGAAATATGAAATGGAAAACTAAATCAGTAATTTCATAAACTACACCTCACGATTTGATCTTCACAAACTTTATTTTCAAAAATATATCACATATATCACGACATGTTTCGCTATCACAGTAGCTTTTTTGTAGTGAACGACATACTGAAATTTAATTCTAATATATACTCTAATTGGCTAAAATGCTTTAGGTAATTATGATTGAAGAAGTTCCTACCTGTGTAGGTAACTGTCACTTATGATTAAGTGAGGTATATAAAAATTAGAGTATATAATAGATGTCTGTGCAGAACTTCTGAACTGAAACTTTGTCATAGGTGACGAGAGAAAAGGCCCCATGAATAGTTTTGCTGATTTTGATTGGGCAAATGACACCGATAGGAAATCAACTTCAATCGTAGCATCAATTCCCCACAACTTGTCGAACTCATAACTCTAAATGTTAGTCTAAGGAGAACAAGAAATTTGGAAATCTTCAAAGTACCCTTTTGTCGCACCAACTATGGCCGGAATGAATCTGTAGGTAGAATCTTGAGACTTGCAAATACATACAATGTAGATTTAAAATGTTTTAATTTGTCTTTGGAAACATTCTAAAAGACTGAAAAGATTGTAATTCATTAATTTATTTTTACGATTTTATATATTTTTTCCTTAAACCTAGCTTAGATTACTGTTGAATATATATATGTGTGAACTTGATAATTATTTTGTAAAAAATAGGCATTGCCGTAAATAAATAAATAAATAGGTTATTTATTTAAAATCATTTGGAAATATGATTTCCTGAACAAAGTAACAACTGTGTGTTTCACTTTCAACTACTGAAGCTGAGTACTTTGCTGCTTGCAGTACTGCTTGTGAAGCAATTCAGTTAAAAAATCTGTTAAGACATGAGAATAGATTTTTCAGCTTTCCAAGAATCACGATATAAAATGGTCCAAGCATATTGATATCAAATATCACTTTATCATAGAAAAAGTAATTAGCAGAGAAATAGAGCTGAGATATGTGGAATCGAACAGACAAGAAGCAGATATTGAGGAAAGAACTGACAAGAGATATATTTTCAGGGCTCCGAATCAGACTTTCTATTCAAACGGGGTGTTAAGGGAACATTATTCCATTTAATTGATTTACACTTCTATTTATCTAGTTTTATATAGTTGCTATCGTGTTGATATAAAAAAACAAAAATAGTTTTTGTCAACAAATGTCAAAGGGAACATTTCTCTTTACCTGCTCTTTGCTTGATCAAAATAATGGAGCAAGCATAGTGAATATCTGGGTTCTAAAAACTCGCATTTGAATAACCCTGTATATCAATTGAGAAAGATATATTAGTCATTGGTTAAATGAGATTTATACCCTGTAGTTGTACGGGAATCAGCACCAATAATTACTCCTCCATCGAATTCTGCTGCCATAATAGAAGTCTAAAAATGGAAAAAATCGAATTTCCTAGTAAAAAAATTATAACATATTTACCCCAGTGCTATGAGCGGCATTTCTCCAGTCATCGGCACCTGCTATGGATATTTGATTCAGTAGCATTTTTACGAACGGAGACAATCTGAATACAAAATCACTAACAAAAAATAAGTCAAAAAATGACTCTACAAATTATTTGCTAGGTTAGAACCACAGAACACTAAAATTTAAATTTCTGTAATCTATGGCACAGTATTCCGTAATTATGTAAAAATATGTCACTTTCTTGCAAATCTGTCAACCAATGTGACTTCCTTGATTTCATTTACGTGGCCGCTTTCTTAAAAAAAAAACTCTGGACACCGTTAATATCGAGTTTCGGTTGACGGTACACATTTGCGTATTCTACAAAGTGACAATGCAAATTGAGAAGTAGATGTGAATTATGATAACACTGGCATAATATATTACTTCACTTTATTTGTGCAACTGCATGAAAGTTTNAAGATAGCAAATAAATTATTAAGAAAAAATTAAAATGTATAACAAAATGAACTAATATAATTCTTACAGGCAAGTAACACTAGACACAATACAACAACACAAGCAGAGAGTATTAGATGATTAAGTGAAGAATATGGTTTTTAAAGCGGGATACTGATATAAGTCTAAACTGTTAGTGATCCTCCTTATAGCTAATAATGATTATAAAACTCAATCTGAATCAACTAAAAAACATAAACAAGCGAATATATCGTTCAGCCTGCGGCTTGAACCATCGACAGACACATCGGCCAATTGACAGAGTGAACAAAGCACCCATGTCTAACCGCCTGGCTACCAGATATGGAAAAAGTTTTCGTATCACTTCACAAATGAGGAGTGAACGGAAGTGAACTTCAAAGTTTCACAAATTTTTTTAAGTTATTGGCAGAAATTGAACGTTGATAAACAGCATCATTTGCTTCACCCCAGACACCTTTGAAGGCGTACACGGTTATCAGAGTTTATGAGACGATTAATTTTAGTTGTAAAAAAGTTACTTTTTCTCCCTGTCAGAATTGTGTAAATTATATGCAAATGTTCTAGAATCTTTTACAGAACTTTTGGGTATTCATTCATTTTGATAAAACTATTGTAAAACACACCTTATTCAAATAATTCCAAGCTATAAATCTTTTCTTTCAATGACATCCTTTGACAACTAGTTTGGGATTCATCGGTAGCTGGAAAAATTCACGAGTAAGTTTTTGGGGATCAATAGTTGGTAATCGTGATATATTATAGAAGATAATTAGTTGTTGTTGTAGTATTGGTATTGATCATTCAGGTAACAAGTAACCGGTAACAGGTCGTCACAAATAATAAACTCATCAGAAATTGGATAAAAGTATTTTCTTTATCCTAAATTCAAAATGAATTTCTACAAAATTAATAGATCATCAATCGAACAAGTTACATCCTTTAAATTTTCAGAATGTTTGGACCTTCAGCTGTCTCCTGCTAATTTCGGCTTTCTGCTTCAAGCTCAATTTCTATATGTCGTCTTCGTGAGCTTGATGTCATTTCCGAGTAACTTTTAATGAGAAATATGGGACAATGCATTACTTACGTGATTTGCAATGCATTACTTACGTGATTTGTGGCATCATCACCAACATCAATCCAAGTAGTCTGCAGAAGTGCAGCGCTTTTGTCTACATATCTCCTCGGTGGATTGCCTTAGGTGGATCTCTTGCTTCTCCAAATGAAACTCATGTCTCCAAAAATCTGATATTCGGAGTTGAAGGACCATTCAATAAATATTTTCCACAATTCGTCAAAACTTCCTCAATAACCTAATTAAGGCAAAATATCAAGTTATTTAAACTTAACTAAACGCGTGTTTTTGTAAAACTGTCTAGTGAAAATCACAATAAAGTGTTTTTAGAATACGTCATATAAGGGGGTAATTATTATAGAACTCAATCTTAATGAACTCAAAGAATATGAACAACAAATATCTTGAAAACAAGAACCCTTCTATTATTGTTTTGTTATTTTTTCATTTTTATCAATGAAGTCCAATATTATTATATTTTAGATATTGCAGTGAGCATGCCTTGAAAAATACTTTGACTAGGAATAAGCATGGTTCGAAGTATCCTCCTCCTAAATCTGCAGAAGCACTCTTATTATCACTATCGCACTATGTCAAAAAACCTCGAAAAAGAAGCAATTCATCAAGTACCCAACATTCGGATGATGGGGAGAGATTTTCGGCAGATGAAGGCGACCTAAAGGTGTCCAGGTCTCAAGATCCATTTGGTTAGAACTTTTGAATTGAATCATATCTCTTTGAGAAAAAACTTTTGCCTTCCTACTTCAATATCAATATAAAGAAAATGAAAAATTTTCATAGGAATGAAGACAACATTGAATACAAAATTAAAAAATCTTTATATAGATGTGCAGATCACACGTGGAAGTTTCTTTCAGGTACAAACTGAAAAAAAATCCATAAAGAAACTACTTTCAAATATGATCATTGAATTATACGGAAATCACTTTTTACAAGCTTCTATTTAACTTGTTAGTTCAGGTTAAATCTTGCAACTGAGTTTGAAGCAGTTATCAACCGATTGAACTGAAATTTAGCATACACTTTTAGTGACATTCATACACTTTTAGTTTGGATAACAATGCATGTGACGCAAGTCAACATATATCATGGTGGACTGGCCAATCTATGATTTGAGTATCAAATGTTTTCTGAAAAGAATACAAAAATTACATGGTGGACTAATTTTTTTCAGCATCCCCATAATATGGGTTTCAAACGAAAAGGTTTGCTGACACGAAAACAAACAATCTAAATAGAATATGGCGGATTAGTTTTGTATGTAGGGGTATCAAATGTTGAAGTTCAAGGGAAAAATCAAAATGGCGTAAATCAAGATGACCGCCACACCAAAGATTAGGAATATTTTTGTGGTGCTCGAATTAATATTGTAGTGTCCGACTATGCAATAAAGACACATTAAATGAAATGAACAGCATAACAAAATTAAATCAATCCCATCAACCGATTACATTACACAATTTATTTGATATAAAAGTTTGTTGCGAGATTTACCTATATAGAAACAGGAATATAATATCTAACTTGATCTTGACCTAAGTAATTATGAACAAAAAATTATATATTTTTTCAGATTAGTAAATCTCGCGACATGCGAGATTTACTAATAGTAAATGGTAAATAGTAAATCTCGCGACATGCGGGATTTACTTATTTAGGTATAAATTGATGGATGTAGCCATTACTACATGGTAGGAAATCATAATAAAGAAAAGAGAATGTTTTTCACCAGTTTTATTTGTAACTAACATTACTGCAGTTTCGTCTTATAAGAACATTTTCAAATTTATGAGTTTTATGTATAAGTTTGAAAATGTCCATATAGGACGAAACTGCAGTAAAGTTAGTTACAAATAAAAGTGGTAAAAAACATAGAAAGTTTCAATTCTCCTGTCTTCATTACTTATTTATGTCACATAAGTTGTGTAAAGTAATAAATGGATGAGTTTGATTTAATTTGAAGTTTACTTTCTTCTTTTTAGAGTTAAAAAATAAAAGCTTGCACTTGGAAATGTTTTTTTGCAATTCATTTATTCTTGTTCAGTTTTTGCTCCAAAGATTTTCAGTTGGATGGACAGATATCATACACAGAAATACAACGTAATATAATTCACACACATCTTAAACGTTGTATCTTCAGGTGTACTTCTTGAAGTTTCGGGTGAAAACGCCAGTTTTCAACTTATCAGAATTTTTTTTTAGGATATCGACCAGTATTTCACAGAAATGTCTATAAGTACACCTGGATATTGAGAGTTACCCATGTAAGGGAAATTTTATATCAGTACTTTTTCACATGGTGCAATCTTTAAAAAAATTTTTCCACATCAGAATAAAAATACTGTCACTCAATGCGTGTTTCGCTAACCAAGTTAACATCATAAGGTGATGACTAAAACTGAATCTTACAACTAAGTCAGTGTATCCATATACATCTGGTTGAACCAGCACTTTTCATAACGAGGGTGAAAAACGAAGGTAATCACATGAGTGTCATTAATGAATTCTTAGTATTGTTATTTTGTCATTGAATTTCACGACCTATTCACATAATAATGACTACCTGTTATGATACATGAAGTTTAGCTGATTTTTTTGATTCATAAACTTTCAAAGGCATCTAAAAACATGGTGTCATGTACCAGTATCAACAATTTCAAGCATTTCCCATTATACTGTGGCCGTCCTTCAAGACCTGTTGAGCGATACTAGACTCCTCTGGTCTGTGAAACCGAATATGTGAAAGGTGTTCCCATAAAAATCTGGAATTTATGAAATGAGCTGTGAGGATCGTAATTAAAAGAATTCTGATCAAACTGAGTGGACTATAATAGCAAGCTACAAGGAACATTTTTCACATATTCCGTTTCATATGCCTGAAAAGTTCAGTGTTGCTCAACATGTTTTGAAAAACGACCGCAGAATAAGTGAGGAATGATGGAACTTGAAGAGTTGGCAATAAGTTTTCAGATGTCTTCCAAAGATGTGAATTCGAAAAATATGAAATGACATCTATGAACAGTGACAAAGATTACATTGCAAACAGCATTTTATTTACTCTTTTACATAATAATTACAGATAGAAATCAGGCGAATATTAGGAATCATAATAGGTAGTCATTATCACATAAATAGGAATTAGAATTCAATAACAAAATATTACAATTACTAATACTGAGCATTTATTAATGATACTCATCTTATCACTTTCATTTGATGACCCTTATTATCAAAGATGAAGGTTAACCCTAACATATATAAAAGCTCTTCATAAGATTTATTTTTAGTCATTTCCTGTTGATAGATATATGTAGATAGATAGATAGATTATCGGTGGACACACCGATTAATACTTGCGATAGAGAGTTGGTTGAATCGAACCTACGGAGAGGTGGACTATTACCTCACCCAGGCACTATCGGGGCACGGTTGTTTCCGTAGGTACCTATATAACCGTAGTAGAGCAGAATCTCCAGATTGTCTTTACTGCAATACAGACTACGTCGTAGAACACACCTTTTTTGTTTGTATAAGATGGGAAAATGCGAGACTACTGTATGCACGTGAAACAAACACCATATTCAATGCCGAAAATATGATGGAAAGTCTCTTACGTGGCGAAGAGCAGGTGACGAGAAATAAGCTCAAGGAAACTTGAGATCAGTCAGAGCACAAATCGATGACAAAATGTGATGCCAAAAGTTCGTGATAATAACTGATTTACTTTTAGTGTTTCGCACGAACACTGCCTAGGGCATACGTATCGAAGTAATGCGAGAGCGGTTTCCGGTACGTAATGCTGAGCAACGGGGGAGGGGTTTTAGTCGGTAGGAATCCGGCACAGAGTCTATGAAGATTTCCACTCCTCCTTAAAAAAAAAGATAGATAGATACAGAAGTGTTTATGCATATGTCACATAAAGTAGTTACACAAAAACTAAAAATGTAATTATCTAAAAGAACGATTCGTTCTGGCCAGTCTCAAATTACCTACACTGTAGGTTAATGGACTGACACCTATCAGAAAACAACTTCTCCCCTAGTTAATACCACGAAGGGCGTTGGATTATATCCGACTGGTGTCAGTGCAGAATTCTTCACTGAAGTTATTCCTGCATATGCTGTTGGCGATACAACTGCCGCAATCAATTTTCAATTATTGGAACACACTTGCAAACTGGTTTCGGGCTGTTTGGCCACTCTTCAGTGCAAGGTAGTGTCTATCATCAACATAAATTCGATGACTTCCGATAATCGAAAATTGAATTCCTTCAGAGTATTATTCCTCGAACTAGACTGAAGCGAACAACAAACAACATGTTTGTCATCGCCCCATCTGCCTGTGAACGAGGTAACCAACCGTGTAAACGAAATTTCTATTATCGGAATTCATCGAATTTATGTTGCACTACCTTGTTCTGGTGTGGAAAAAGTGTTTTCAAGGTTCCTATTCTACTACAAATGTTTGGTATCCAAATGAATGAAAACATGATTTCGATGTAATTAAATGTTTCTAATTGAAAGTATTTGTTTTGGATGGATATTTTCTTTCAGTTTGCATGTGAAAGAAACTTCTGTGCATGATCTATGTACACATCTTTGTGAAGAGTTTTTATTGACGCATTTAATTGTTTTCCTTTCTTCATACATTTTCCATTTTTTATATAAGTAATGATAAGGAAGTAGAAAGCAAACTGATTTTCTTCTAAAAACTGACCACTCACTCATTTTCAATCCTCATATGGGCGATTGTCAAAATAGTTTGATTTTGTGTGTCATGTGATTCCATATGCTTTTTGTAATATATAGATATATTATATAATAATTACAAGACATACTAAGAACTAAATTTTTAATATCAAGTATCAGGCTGAGATGATTTCATGAGTAAAATACCCTGCAAAAGATGTTTTGAACTCCACCAGTGTTGACTTCTTCTCTGGAGATTAATTATTATTCAACTAAAACCAATTTGTGATAATAATCATGTATTAATTTTCAATGAAAGATTGATTGCAAGTTCAAACCATTCAAAATGTAACCACATTTTCCATTCACTTGCAGAGTCACTTTCTATCCTAGGTAGTTTTGGGTGTCGAACAGATGGTATTGATGTTGTATGAGAAGCAGTCGACTGGTTTCCGGAGTGGGTGGAAGCTTCAACAGCCCACCATATATTATATAACAATTACAAGGCGTATGAGAACTATCTGTTTAATATCAAGTTTCTTTGAGACTGTCTGATTTTCTTGTAACTGTATAGGGTCAATTTTTTAACTCGTATTACATTTAGTGTACTTGAAACTAATGAAAAATGTGTATTTTTTAATATACGAAATATTTTGGGAAGGTAAATTTATATGCAAAAGAAATAAAATGCATTCCTTGGAAATTCAAATTAGCAGTAATCAAAGCTCTTTACAAACAAGTTATAAAATTTAACCTATCAGTTATATTCTTTGATCTTAAGTCCAACAAAAATATTCGAAAATGTAATGCTCATTAGATTTATACTTAACCAAATCAAAGTTACATTCCTATAAACAAACATGGGAGATCAACACCAAATAAATAATATTTATGAAGCAATTGATGAGAGGATTTCAGTACTGTCCATTTTTCTTGATCTCTCCAAGGCCTTCGACAAGGTGGACTATATTCTTCACTTGGATACCTTGGAGAGAGCTTCTCAAAGACTCCTCTCAAGCTATCTTTCAAACAGAAAACATATTGTACAAGTCTGTGAACCATATAGTAATGAGAAGGAATTTCTGGATGGAATTTCTTATGATACAGTACTCGGTACAATCTTATTTACAATATATTTGAACGAACATCTCAAATGGAAAAATTACAAGCTTTGCGGATGATACTGCCGTATTTTATAGAGCTTCTAATCGGAAAACTCAATAGCTATATCTCAAAATATTTTATTCAAATTATAAACTGGTTCAGCTCACTGGAACTAACAATTAACTTTAATAAAACTAATTTTATGCCTTCTACTTGCTATAAAAAAACTTCATGATTTTGACATCTTGTTCGTTTAATACACAAATGATTAAGAGATTTTTAAAATAAAATATTTAGGTGCAACAATTGACACCTCAAGTGGTATGAACATATAAGAAATGCAGACAATACCCTCAGTTTCAGATATTTTTCTGATATTTCGAGAATGAATCATCTGATTAAGTTATTTTTCTGATATTTCAAGAATGAATCATCTGAGGATCTTGTCCTTTACTCTTGTTGAAACAAGAATTCAATAACATACTTTATACAAAAATAAATGCACCAAAAATATTGGACAGAGAAATCATATTTACTTATGTAAGAAACTTTTCAATAAAGTACCAGAGAAACTAAAAAGAGAAATAATAATTACTAACTCAGTCAGTCTCATAAGAAAAAAAATACGATTTTGGGTCCATACCATGCACAAAAATGATATCTATTGTTTTTTAAATGCATGATACCAATTACCATTACTCATTATTTTGTATACACATGTATCTTACTACGTAACATATTATAATTTTCCCTTCCTTGTAATGTTGCGCAAGTAACTTTCATTTTTAACCTTTTTTTTCTTGTAACGTATAACACGTATTCCTTTGCTTTATTAAATCAATGTATGTATACTTACCGCTGTTTTAACCCCATAAACAACCACGAGTTTCTATGGGTTTTTATGTTTGTTTACAAATTAGATAATTTTTTATGAATTGCCAAATCTGTATTCTGAAAGGGGCAAATTAACATTATTTTTATTATTATTGATTACGTAAATTGAATATGGCAATGCACTATGCAAATAACTTTAATTCAAGAGTGATAAATTTTAAATGTTTCATAATATATGTAAAAATTGTGCCATTTTGGAGGCAGTTGTATTTATAAAATGAAATGCAATACTCTTTGTGGTCATAACTGCTCACCATTCTATAATAAAAAGCAGAGAAATTTATGCACTTCCCAAAAAACTGTTCAGTATTTGTCATATTTCATTTTTCATCGTGACTAATCGAATAACATATTTTGCCAATCGACCATATCAATCTTGATAGTGAATAGCTAGTAAATAAGTTTGATTTTACAGTTGACTTAGATGCTTGCAGCATATACAATGATCGCTGCAGCCAGATCTTGGATTTCTGCAGCGAATCTGAAAGTGATATAGAAGCCTCCACGTACTCCTCAGTATGGCATGATGCCCAGGCTGATAGCTCAGGAGATGAGAGCATCGACTCTGAACAAGAGGATGTTTTGAAGTAGGTTCCTTTTCATTTGTAAAGATTATTTTTCTGAATTAGATCCAATATAATTGAAATCCTTATGAAAATTATATTTATTTATTTTTGTGTCATTGGACATGAATGCTTAGAAAACATATTTCAGATAGTTTAATATTGAAAAAAATAAAATCAATAGCTTTTTCAGGATTAAATAATTTAAGTACAAATAGTGCTCTCCAAATATATTTGCTCATGGTAATTATAATAATTAATATTGAATAATTATCAACAGTGACGGATCCAGACCATGATTTCGGGGGGGGGGAGGGCAATCGAGATTTCTTAGTTCACCCCTAAAACCACCAAGTTATAGATAAATACCTTACCTGTAGGTCTACCCTACGTTTTGATTCATATAGGAAAATATGTTTTATTATATTCTACCATGTAGTGTGGGAAGTTTATTTATTTACTTGTCAAAGTCAAAAACAATTCATTCGTCACTGAAAGCCCCTATACAAATATAAAAAATGTATACGAGTTTGTTGGACTTCTCAAAGAAAATTGTTTGATGTACACAAAACATAAAATACATAACGCATATGAATAACTATTGTACACAAATAAATACAATAAATACAAAAATTAAAATGAATTATATGCATATTTAAATACATTTTCAACACACATAATTATAGGAGAAGGAGAAGTATGACCAATTTATAATACATATACACATTCAAATCGTTGAACAAGAAGAAACATTCAAACAAAAGAGAATAGCCAAAGAAAAGTTTTTACTTATAGTAGAATTTACAATTGAGAGAAACTAAACCACTTTCAGTGGATCACTGGTTGACCAAAATATACAAAAATATCCACAGAAAAATGTATTTCTGTTAAGCTTACAATTTAGCGTAACAGCGGAAGAATATTTTTAGGCATAATGTTTTTACATGTTTAGCTATTTTGTTTGGTTTTAATTTATAACTTATCAATTTATAAATTGTAAATATAATTTATAAATTAGAAATTACTGGCATACTCGCTAATGCACTAGAACGCACGGTAACGTTCTGGAAGATTCGGTCCATAAGCGAAGCATAGGTTCCAGAACAATCGACAAGCGCGGGAATGTGTTCGTCAATAAGAGTACGGCTCGTGCACGGGGTGCCTGTGTTTTGGTTTGATGGTTTGTGTACACTGTGGCACACACATTCTAATATAATCTATCCGTTATCCATTACAGCTTCAAGTTTTGCTGGGCAAACAAAAACAATGGCGAAAAATAAATAAAAAGCGATTACACGAGAAAGCAACAATAAAAAATTGCAAAGGCGATTATCGAAATGGTTTTGTCACAGGGTTGCAAATTTCTGCTGCCACTACCACCGCCAAAATTAAAATAAAATTAGAACGTACATCAAATTAATTAATTTTTTTTGAAAGGTTGACGCTTCAAAAAAAGTTTGCAATTCTTAGGGAATTTTTAAATAGATAAATTTAATATTTCTATGAAAACACATTTTGACATCTCTTTTCAGTTAACTATTTTCATGTTATTACATTTGCTGTGAAGTGGCCGTGTCAGGTGACGCCGAATCACCTGGTTACCACCAAACGGTATTGTTTACAGCTCACGCGTTTTATTTAAAGTCACATTCAAAGTTCTTGCTGGTGTTTAATGTCTTGCATAGTGAAGAACAATAGTGAGAAATTGTGTGTTCCTGACGATATTGAAGAGGCTGCAAAAAGAGCTTCAATTGAATTGATACCAAAAAAAAATCGGCTCAGCAGTACGACATCACATATTCTAATTTTCTTAGCTGGTGTAGACTTAAAACCGTCTTCTTAGCTTATCTAGAAGAGAAATAAAGAATATGGAACTCGTCAACTTTGTGGAGCAAGTTTTCAATGATAAAGTCGAGTGCGTTCGTTAAAAATGGTGTTAATACAAGCAAATATTTCAAGGTAATAGCATTCTTAAAGCGGAAAAATGAAAGTTATAGGCCCAAAAAATCAAAAACTCTTACGTTTGAACAAGTCCAGAGGTTTATAAATAAGGCGCCAGATGAAAAATATTTGATGATAAAATTTGCTACTATTTTCGGAATATATGGAGCCTGCCAGAGCGAAGAGCTGTGCCATTTATTAATAGAAGACATCGAATTAATGGATAAATCATTGATTGTTCAAATTCCAAATACAAAAACGAAAATAGGTCGTTCTTTTTGCATTTTAATAAATATGTTGCATTACGCTCTTCTGTTATCAATCATCAAATATTTTTTCTGAAATACTCAAATTATATATGCAGTGCTAACCCAGTTGGTATAAACACATTTGGGAAAATGCCCTCTACCATTGCTGAGTTTCTGAACCTCCCGGACCAAAGGAATATACAGGTCACTGTTTCAGAAGGTCTTCTGATTCTCTGCTATCAGAATCAGGAGCAAATATAACGGATATTAAGAAGCACGGAGTATGGAAGTCTACAACAGTAGCTGAGGGTCACATCGATCAATTTCTTATAAAAAGTCTCTTCACTTCAAGAATTAAATGTTTATGCTTATGAAATTGTCAACTCAGTTCAAATATATTACACGGCTCTTCAACATTGCAAGGTATCAATACCAGCAGTTGTTTTAATTGTACTTTTAATATTAATGTTCATAAATAATAATGTAATTAATGTATATAATATATTTGTAACAGAATTTAATTGTATCTATATCTATTGTTCATAATAAAACTTCCTTGAAAATTGAATAATTACATTTTGTTTATTGCTATTTGGTCGAAAAAAATTTTGTTAAAAATACTTTAACACTAGTGTTAAAAATATTTTTAACACGATACTTTGTAAACATCACCTTTTAACACTCTTAACAACCATTAAAAATGTCACTTTTAATAACAGTTGTACAAAAAACACTTTTCTCGATTCCATTTATATTCCAAACATTCGTAATGGAATCAAATCAGATATTATTCACAATATAATTGATAAAAGAAGTACAATTTCACTTACATGGAACACTGTCCTCCTCACGGCTAGACATCCAATGTTTCGCCGTAAAACACTTGCCTTATCGGCTCCTCAGTAGCAAATACGGATAACATCAGAAAAAACACTCAATTCGTTCAAAATTAGGACTTTTTTTTTTCGAGAGTGTTTTTTCTTTTTCTTCCAGTTTGTGTCTGAAAGTTACTTCTTTGCATGATCTACACATCTTTGTATAGAGTTGATTTTTTTAAATTCCTTTCATTTGAAGATTCCCACATTTTTTGTATCAAGATGGAAAAGTAGAAGGCCAAATATTTTCTTTCCCAAAAATTAATATCTCCTAAAAATATACCCTTTCAATTTATTGAATTCAGTTTCTAAGAAAATTCAAAATGTCTAGATCTAGATGATCCCTATTATGGTTGTAATGCTGATTTGTTTCTACATGAAATACTTTAGGGACTTTTCAAAGCTTTTGGCAGTAAAAATCCGTTTTTCCGTTAATCATTTGTCGGCCTTTTACGAATGAAAACTCTCAGAAGTAGAAACTTGTGCGAGCTAAGGATTAACGGGGTCTTACCTCAACGTGCGATTCCCAGCATTGTATTGATCCCTTATGAACTCTTTTAGTGACCTGATAATAATGATTTCATCATTATTAAAGCTTTCATATTTTTTAAAATCACCTAATAATAAAAATCGGCTATATTCATCGAATTAAACACAATGAAACGTTCGATGAAAGGCTAAGTTTAGCTTGTGCTGTTTTTTAATTTTCTCTGAGAAATCAAAGGATTCAAAGGAATTCGGGAATCTATCAAACCTGTTTCTCTATGCAGATGATACACCAAATAGAAATCTGTAGAAAACCAGCTATTGTATTCCCATTGAAATGGGAATACAATAGCTGGTTTGTTAGTATTCCCATTGAAATGGGAATACTAACAATTGCCTCTATCTATATAATGGACAGTTATATTACTTACCCAGAAGAGTATCAATAACAATACTACTGGTTCACAAATTCATGACCAAGAAAGCAAAAATTAGTTACATTTACTTCTGAACAAAGTGGCAAAAATCTACCATTTCCTATTATATAAAATATTAGAGGAACTTTCAATACTGTTTCGTGTTTGTTACAATCTGATTTAAACCAATTGCAATGCGGCAAATTCAATGGATTTCATCACTTTATTTTTTCTAATACAGTCCTCTAGTTTTTTTTTTCGATTTTTGTAGCCATTGTTATTGCAAATTCAGCTTTNGAAATCCATAATAAAGCGGAAAACGGCAAACTCCCGCCAAACGGTTAGCTCACGCTAAACCGATGAAGCGTAGAGAGGAAAGAGGGAATAGGTGAAAGCACTCGGATGACCTATGAATAGTCATCTCCCGGAGGAATGAGTCCAGTCATCACTCGAAGACGATTGTGGATACTAAAAATCGAAACGTCGTGAAGTAACTTGGCTTGAAATCTTTTAATTTTGATTTCAAGTTAGTAATTTTTTTAATTTTCATCTCGCGTTAATATTTCAATTTTTTTATTTTTTGGTTGTTGCTTGTATTTTATTTCATTGTAATTTAAATTTTTTGCTTAATATAATCGTTATTTTTTCAGCTAATCTTTTTGATTTTTTTATAGATTCTTTCAGGGATTTCAAATCAATTTATATCATACTAGCTTTTACCCGCGGCTTCGCTCGCATTTATGCCATTAAATAAGTGTCAGTACAACAGAAATGAATCAATATGAGAAATATATTTAAAAATAATGTTACTTCTAATACCTCCAAGAACATTTGTACAAAATTTCATGATGATCGGTTGAGTAGTTTTCGCGTGAAACCGTAACAAACAAACTTATATTCGCATTTATAATATTAGTAGGGATTAGACAATGGAATTCCGAACTAATGAAATGCAACTTTTGTCTAATTTAGGCCTTATTGTTTTGGAGATAGCAATAGCTAAAAAACTGGATTTTTCAACATAGCACTTATCTACCGTTTTCGGAATGAATTTCAGGCATGCCAATGTGTACACGGCTGAGGAGATTACTAGGATGACTAGAGACAAATTGGTAAGGTTGCATGCATTGTATATCGAGCAGTATCGTCATTTGCAGTATTTGTTAAAAGAAAAGAGGAGGAAATACCTTCATTCGCTGAAAAGAGAAAAAGAAACATGCTGTAAGTGTTACTTATTATTAAAACGACTTCAGTGTTGTAATTCTAAGGTTATCAGTTTCTGTCTGTCACATTTTTGTCTTTAATAAAAACCGAACGAAACAACTTTTTGGATTTAAATTGGACACAGACGCGAATTTTGTCACAGAGAACAGGCCCATGGAAATACAACCAAAATTAATTATGAATGTATCTCTCATATAGTTTTGTAGTTATCAATAATTAGGTAAATTTCGACACAATCTCCCAAAAAGAAGTTATATATCAGAACCTATACTATATTTAAACAATCTTTCAGCTTTTACGGTATTTACATGAGCCAGAACCCAAAAGTCAAAACCTGAACAAGTTTGGTTTCCTAACCTCAAATATTAACAAAATTCGAAAGAACATAAATCCAAAACTACTGCACTTATCAAAAAATGATATAGAACGTACATATATACAGAACAGTCACATCAATTTTTCCGATATTTCAATAGTACAGACAATATCCGGAAAAAATTAAAATTTCTATTTCATTCTGTTTCTTGGGCACTTGCAGATAGCCAAAGTTTTCATAGAACCGATTCTGTGACTGTAAACGAGTTATACTGAATGTTTATATTCCCAAAAATCCGCAATGTTCGATAATTGATTTAGCGAAGGATTTTAAAGGCTATCTGGTTTCATTTTAAATCATATTTCCGTAGCCCGTCAGCCATGAAACGTTGCAGAATCATCTCAATTTCAACTAGATGAATTTTTTTGAAAAAAATATCTGGTAGAGGTTGGGATCGAAATTCAATTTGATAATTGGTTATTTTGGAATCGCATTGACTTTCTGTCCCTAATACGCGTCTCACGATAGCTTCATCAGTTGGACTTGTGATGCACTGTCTGTAACCTTTGGTGTAGTAATGAATATTACTGGAGTTTTCTCCCAATATCAGTGAATCTACTCTCATCACACCATTAAATTTTATTACAGATTTCATTATCCTGACGATGTTGTCTGAGTAACCATTTACAAATGTTTCTCCTATCATAGTCCGATAAACGCAGAAGGTGGATTTTTGACTTAAGGTCTAAATTTATTTCTTTCCAAAATGTTTCGAACTAAGGGTCTATGTGCAATATGCTATAATGTGCAATCTTTCTCAATGATACTTCTTTGTTTTCAATTTTTAGGCATTACACAAGTCTTGAATCAAATAAATATCATTTTATTATTACTGATAATGCCTTCTGAACTTACCCAAAACGCCAATTTCAGTATCGCCACCTCTTTTAGTTACTGTACAACTCTTACGTAAGGATTTTTCAAATGAACCATGATATCGTAAATTCCTCTCAATGCGTTGAAAATATGCGTTGATTGACGTCTCTCAGGGTACAATTCCCCATACAAAGCTACATATCTTATATACGAAAAGCTTATCAACTTTCTCGTCATTAGAAAAATTAATGGTTTTCCCCTCACAAATTCACACGAATCTAATTATTATTTACGTACTTGACAGTAAATTTGACAATTATACATATTCTGTTAATTCATGGCTCACATTAAACAAATCCATTCATTTCAGTACTCTCATACATTTTTCTCTACTTTTTTTATTTGCCGAAAAACAGAAAAACACATTTATGTTCCATAAATGTGTTCTTTTCAACAGATCTTCCATATTTTTTCAAAACCCCTGGAATGCAAAGGCGTTCACCTCTACTTGCAAATTTTCAAAAGATGTGTGGAGTTGAAGTATCTTTAAAATCTAATATATTGGTTTCTATCTTTTTGAGACTACACAAATATTGATGATGTTTTTTCAGAGATAAACGTCGGGAAACACATGTTGTATTATAATACATAGCTGAATTTGTTTTTATAGTGGCTACAAAAATCGATGAAAAAACTAGAGTTCTGTATAAAAAAAAATATTATTATGTATCTATTATGTAAGCATATGTTAAAATCACTGCAAATATTTAAAAAATTGTACGCTGGCTGAAGGACTTCGGTCGATGGCCCTTTTGTATTCACCAATAAATGACATTTATTATTATTATTATTCAGGCTACCAAGTATCTAGTCAGTTATAGGTGTACTTCCTGGAATTACATTATTTTTTTGGGTTCCTTCAGTATTATAAGAATAGTTTTGTACAGTCGATTATGGACGAGTGAAGAAATCTGACATAATTGTGATTTCTGTGATAGTGTATACTGTGATAATGTCTACAATTGTTTTAAGCAACAGAATCTTTCTAATTCTATTGACAGTATAGTTGAAATATCAAATACAGTTATGGGATATGGAAAATCAACTACGTATAACATTAAAAAAAACAAAAATTGGCTGGTATAACCTCATCCAAACCGACACCAAGGGAACTAAAATTATCAAAAGTGTAGTTGGATGTTTTTTCAAAAATGCAGTTCTTAGGATAGTCCATCCATTTTTTTACCAAGCAAATACCAACATGATGATCCTGATTTGGAAAGTTTTACATAAATTAAACTTCAAATATGAAAAATTTGGCAGACAATCAATGCTTGTTGTTTCCGAAGATATTGTATGTTGGAGACGAGACTATCTAAGAAAAATGAAAGAAATAGGACAGAAAACAAGAACGTTTATTATTTAGATAAAACGTGGGTTAATTAAGAAAATTCTGAAGAAAGAGTTTGTTAAGACAAAAACAGAAGCGTTTCTACAAGTATGTTCAACTGGTCTCAAGGAACCAACAGGTAAGGGTCGACGACAGATTGGTAGTGTAAATAGATTTATCGAGAAAGGTCTACTTTTGTTTGAATCAAAAAAGCCTGTGATTGTCACAAAGAGATGAACGAACACGTGTTTGAAGAATATTTCGGACAAATGATTGAATTCATACCCAAAAATGTAGTTATTGTGATGGAAAATACAAGTTATCACTCCTGATCAGTTGAACGTTTATCAACTACTCAATGGAAGAAAAATTAAATTGCAACTTGGTTAATTTCCGAGAAATTTATTTTTAAAGATACAATGACAAAAGCAGAATTATTATCCACGGTCAACATTCATAAACAAAATTATAAAAAATCTGTCGTTGAGAAGATAGTCAAAAAACGAGGAATTGAAATACTTTGCCTACCACTCCATCATTATGAGCTTAATCTGATTGATTTGAATGGGCTCTGACTAATCTTTTCCATTAATCAATATCTGAAGTAACTACCGAAAATTGGTAAAAATGTATCAATCATGTTATGGAAATTTAGAAAAATATATGGAAGCTTCATCATATTGACAACAAAATAGATCCTATAATAATCTCTCTTGCAACTGATGACGAACCATCTGAAACAGAATATGAGGAAGCATAAACTGTAACTCAGAAGATTATTTTACATTTTCTCCAATTAATATTGTTTATATGGTTTTTTAATCAAATAAATGATATTTTTTGTTTTATTTTGTTTTAGTGTAGTTGTGCGGATTTTTGAACTCTATATTAAACTTACGTATATATTAAATTTGAGGTAGGTTGTTTTAGAAATATCAAAACTTGTAAATAACGGTAGAAACCTATAATTCTATATTTTCAAATACTAACAAATTACAAAAACATTCATCATACACTTCGTGAAATTTATTCTTTCAACATTTATTCACATTAACGTAGTTTTCGGAAATTGGTGAGAATTTACTCTACCTCATTCTTGAAATATACTATAGTGTTATTAATTTTCAGCAAGTATTAGGTTATTATATTCACAATTCCTTATTAGGAGTATTATGTATATATTCCGTAACACAGTATGATTCAAGTTCAATGAGTAATTTCGACAGTGTTTTTTTAATGTTCTGCATTAATAGCTTCTTCAGTTTTGAAATGGGAACAAACCGATAGTTTCAGCGTAATGCTGCTTGAATATTACCTTACATCATAATATGTAGGTTTGAAAACAGTAGCAAAACAGAGAGTCAATTTAGCTTCCATTTTATGAATACGATGTGTACTGATTATACTCACTCCTATCTGTAATTATTGTGCTTTATTTCAGGTAATATTTATAATCAAGTACGTGATAATCCTAAAGAACAAAGGTTATATAAAAAATTGAAAGCTCTCAACAGTTATCACAAGTGCCATGGTACTGATGCGATATTGAACAAGAGACTGAAGGATCTCAGAATGAAGGTATAAGAATATATCTGCGTATAAGAATATATCTGTCCCTTTTTGGAAAACAAGTTTCAAAAATTGTTTATATTTTTTTATAGGTCTCTGAAGGTATTACCCCTAAAATTCACATGCACACGAAATGTTCATTCAGCGAAGGAGGGGTCAAATGCACCGAAAGGAGTATACCTCTATCCAAATTTTGCCAGAAACATATATTAGAGGTTAGTGACAATTTGTTATCACAATATTCATGTCCTAAAATGTAAATATCCTCCCAAAAATTATTCTCTCCTAAAAATATACCCTTTCAATTTAAACTTTTTTGTGAAATTGATGACTTGTTTATTTTGTGGAAATTCATGATCACTTTTATGAAATGAAAGAAAACACTTTGCCTAATTTTCACTAGTTATTTTATTTTTACGATCGACTAATTATTTAGTATTCATACTTGATAATGGGATAAAACCCGAAACCGGTCATTATAATAAAATAACTAGTGGAAATTACACAAAAGTGTTTTTATTCATTTCATTAAAGAAATAATAACTTCAACAGCTAATCATTCAACTCTGTCTTTTAGTAACTAACAACAAACATGACTGTTTCTAATGCTAATACTATCTAGTTATCATAAAAAGTATAGTAATATAATATATAACACACCCTATTGTTGAGGGAAGTATAACAACCATTAAATGAATGATTTGAGAAAATTCCTATAGATGCAAATTTCGGATCTTCACGTCGAGATTATACCGCACCTTAGGAATCCATCCTAATCCAAAGGAATGGAGTAAGATAATTGGATCTGAGAATTGTGTGCCCTAAGATATGCAATGAGCCAAGAATGACTATCGCATTTGTTCGGTTAAGATTTCTGCATAATTTCATTAACAGCTCCAACAATAAGAACTTTTATTTCAACAGAGTAGTCTGGATAGAGTTTGAGGGGTTCGAAGAAAAAATCTCAATATTTCATTGTTTTTCTTACCCTTTTCGGATAACACTTGTCTCATTCGAAACTAAAAACTCCCAAGACGATTATCGTCTTACTGTGATGTTTGGGAAAAACCACATGAGGTTTATTAACTTGTATCACCTCAGGATAGGGAATGAATAGTTCTAATAAATTTACTCTTCTCATTCCCCACAACGGATTCAATATCTTTCGTAATATAAGGTAACACCCGTGTCTCGTCAATACTGTAGAAGTGCCGTAGGTGGTAATAGAACACTCTCAGATCCGTGTTATGTCTATGGATATAGGCTAAGACTGCATATGCTGAACATGCATCTGGTGTGAAAAATGTTATTATTATTATTATTATTAAACACCACAGAAATGTAACATTGAGCATACACTCATTGCTATGAATCTTCGACAAATTTTTCATAAAAAAATTACTAACAATTGTTTGCAGGATCACACACAGGTCTTGTTTAGAGCTTGTGGAAAACTCACCGGGGATATGACCTGTCCAACCCCAATCGCGGCAGTTTTCGACGACTCAACGTGCCCTTTGCATCTAGATATTCCACCTTTACGTTCGTATAGTGTACTGAGGGTAAGTTTTGCTCTGTAATGCCACATTGGCTTGATTTCTGATAAGTGAAAGTAAATAAGCAAGCATTTTTTGATATTGTAGTATGACAAAGGGGTGTAGAAGTTGATGTGTATTAAACGTAGATTCAACAAATGCTTATATATCCCAATGAAGACATAAAAACCAAAAAATGTTTTGTTTTGTCCTTTTATGTAGGCTAGATGTAATAACTTTCTTATATATAGCACAAAAGTGCTATATATAAGCAAGAAATCTCAAATGAAATTCTGTCACTTCTTACGCACCTTATAAATAACATATTTGCTACCAGCAAATGCCCGAGTAGTTTCAAGAAAGCCGTAATCACACCAATTTACAAATTACAGACCCATATCAGTAATTACCTCTCTTGCAAAAATATTCGAAAAAGCACTTAAAAACAGAATAAATGACTTTTTAAACAAATATAAAATAATATCTGATGAACAATTTGGCTTTCGAGAGAAAATGTCAACAAACGATGCAATTGCCTACGTAACCAAAGAAGTAACCACGTCCTTAGATAAGAGTCAGCCCAATTTGTGCGTGTTCCTGGATTTTGCCAAGGCTTTTGACACGGTTAGCCATGAGCAGTTGTTATAAACTTTGGACGATATAGGATTACGAGGAGAACCAAACAGACTACTCACTAGTTACCTTTCTGATGGAAGACAAGTAGTGAAAATTAAAAATGTACTAAGTGAAGAAGGGGTAATCAACTACGGCGTACCCCAAGGTACAGTTTTAGGACCGATACTCTTCTTCATTTATATAAATTACTTATTATTGTTAAACATGTCAACAGGAAACATTATCAGCTTCGCCGGCGACACTGCTATCATACAGATCAAACATGGGACATTGAAAAACAAAGTAGAAGCGGATCTGAAAATCATATTCAGTTGGTTCAGTCAAAAAATATTTTTTGAAAAAAAAAAATTTCATTCCATTTGCCAATAATAAAAGCACACTACTCAATTTTGATAAGTTGAACGTAGAACATAAAGGAAATATGGAATTAATACATTCGCGAAATGACATAAAGTACTTAGGAGTAACAATAGATAAACACCTACGCTTGGATCTTCACATAACGAATATAACGAAGACTTTAAGATGCTTATTATATAGATTCAGAAAATTAAAAACATACTTGACATCATTTACCTTAAAATGATATACTCGCTCTCGTTCAGTCAAGGCTACAATACGCCATTCTCAGCTGGGGTGGTTCAGTTAAAACATATTTGAAGCAGTTGGATGTCTTCCAAAAAAGAATTTTGAAAATAATCTATGGCAAAAAACAACTACTCCTCCAATATACCATCTCAAGAAACAGGTATACTCGACCTCAGACAACTGTTTATGCATCAAATAATCATATACATCTACAAAAACAAATATGTACTCAAAAAAATCAATAACAAATATGAAACAAGGCATAATGTCCAAACAATACAAACTAAAAGAAATGTGGTAACACAAAACTACACAAAGAATATTTAAAAAATTCATTGTTCAACTTGGAAGCGATATAGTACACTTCTCAATTGAAAGTTTACAAAAGCAGTCAATAACAAGCTTACCTACCATTTCTAATTCACTTACCAAATAAACCAATCAATCTGGAATGTTCCAACGTAGTTATAAGGTTTTAATCATTTTAACGTATCCATATTGTTTCAAAGTAGCTGTAAGTTTTTACTAAAAAAATAACTTTCATCATAAATGAGTGTGCAAGTAGCACACCTGAAGCACTCAAAAAATAATAAGCAAACCGCAGACACCTGTTTGTAGCTCATTAGCTGTCATAGTCGGTATAGCCGAGTGCAAGGTTAGGCTACACTTAGTTGCAGAAACAACACAAATGCATGGAGTCATCAATAGAAACCAGCCGCACATTGTGGTCAGGTCATCTCGTGTTAGAGATTTCACTGAAGTCACCACGGGACAGCTTTAGCTACATGTGTGACATCCGGGTCCAATATTCGATGTAGATGATAATTTGGCGGCTGGCTTCTGTTGTTGACTCTGTAAGATTCGTTTGAATTTGCTTCTTTCATCAGTGAAAAATCTATCTCAATAGGATATAATTTATTAAATCTTGAAGTGGTAGCTCTTTTCAAACATACCTATAGAACTGGTTTAAGAAGGAATATTAAAAAGATGGAATGATATAGAAAAAAAATTGTCAAATTACCCAAAACAAATTTCTTGAAATAACTAAATTAATTTTCAATTCAAGTTACTTTTCATTTGAAGGAAATTATCATCAGATATTAGGTACATCAATGGTTGCAATAATTTCACCAATACTTGCACAATACGTTATGGATACATTATTATTTATTGAAGAACTTCTTCAACATAGTTTCAAAGTTGATATTTGTATTATCCCGAAGGATAAATCACAAGAAATACTTGAATAAGTAAACAGTTATAACCGCAAATTACAATTCACTAAAGAACTGGAAGATAACAATACTATTCTTTTTTTAGATACAAAAAGAATTGCAAAGATGACAATTCATTAATAACAGATTGGTGTATTAAACCAACAAGTTCATTGAGATATATTAATTATAATTCGTTACATCAAAAATCAATGTCTGAAAAGTAGAATCAAAAAAGAGATTACAACCTAGTCCTCTAGTCATGTAAGTACAATTCATTCCAAATGATTCTTGAAAATGGCTCCAAAGCAGGAGCCGAAACGTCGAAAAGATGAAAATTACAGACGCGGTTCAACCCGGACAACTGAATAGATAGAATTTTGCGGAAATTTCTATTTAAAGTAGGTGTAATTTTTAAGGTTAACGAAGCTACTTGATACTGTTGGATAGATAGAATTTTTGGAGAAGTTTCAATTTAAAATAGGGATAATTGAAAGTGTTAGCGGAGCTACTTGAGACTGATGTATAGATACGATTTTGGGGAAATTTCTATTTGAAAAGGGTAATTGAAAGCGTTAGCGGAGCTAACTGGATTCTTCCTTATTTGATTTTTCAGAAAGATTCCGAGTCTGACATCGAAGATACTTCGGACGCTCACTTGAACTACTCGCACCTCTCAGAGAACGTGAAGACTGAATTCATGCACTACGACATCCCACCAGAAATACCCAAGATGGAAAAGCTGCCATCTATGCTCTTCGAAGAGTACACCAGGAGCCCAAACGAATCCTCCAATGACTTCACCTTCAAGCAGGACTCGTACGCACTGGAAGAAGCAAAGGCAATGCAGAGCGACGAATCTATGGATGAGATCAACGTCCTCCAAGTAAACGAAGAAGTAGAGATTAGCACTGAGGTGAACGAGTCATTAGCAAGTGTGTCTGGCAACGACATTAAAACTGAGACTGTGGATGTTAATGATATGGTGATCGTAGATGAAGGTGTTGTGGAAATCATGGAGACTGCTATGGACACTAGCATGGCGGAAGAATTGGATGTGGGTGAAGTCGAAACTGTAGTGAGTATGGATTCAGGAATGGAGCTAGTGAAACCTTCAGAAGTTCCTGGTACGGTTGAACATTCAGAAGATGTTTCTAAAGCAGAAATACTCGAAACCGGAACAGATATGGCTCACATGGCTAACATGATTGAAACTGCTGGGGAGCTAGAAAATACCAACCCCGATATTGAAAAACATGAAACCCTACAGGAGAAGTTGGAATCGAGTGAAAATGAAACTTCCTCTTCAAGATTTGACTCCACAGTTGATAATGTGGTGAAAGATAGCATACCTGATAGTGAGAAAACACTTGATATCAAGGTTGCAGTAAATTCAAAACCAGTTGAAGCTGAATACAATGAGGATGGTGGTGCAGAAGTGAATACAAGTGATTCTGTACCAGAGGCAGATGAGATTTCAAGTAAAAATAATTTGAATACTTTGGAAGTTGTGCAAAATGATAAACCACATTCCACGGAAGTTATTGGTGGCGAAGAAACATGTTTTCAGGAGGAGGAGAATACTGTGAATACTTTGTACAAAGCTGTCTGATTTGTGTTGCTGTTCGAACTTTTTTATTGTACTTGTTGATTTTGTATGTATTGCATTTGGCAAATTGAAAAGTTATTGAGATGAAAATTTGCTTTGATTAGACACATCGAAATTAACACAAAAAAAATGTAGACATTAGGTAACAACACTTCATGATAATAATCATAAATTTCATTTAGGATGCTTTACGCTTCACAGTGTCTAGTGTACCAGTAAAACAGATGAAGCTATCGTGTAGCGAAACATGTCTTAAATAAAAAATAGTGAAAATTGAATGATTATTATCATATAAAGAATTATTGAGCTGGTGGGAAATGAGTTGGGTGTGGTTGATGGTGGGGAAAAGTACAGATGACTGATAACAGGTGATATACTGAAGAAAATACAAAGATGGACATGCTATTTGACCATGGAGCAACAAGTCTTTGGATTTGGAGTGGGCTCTGGATGTGGTCCCTGAGTTGGTCCTCGTTATGAATTTGGTATTCAACAGATCTCGTATCCCCCGGAGACGGGATGTGTGCAAGGCGGCGCCCGTAGCAACTCGATGCCCGACGATATAATCTGAATCTCGTCGAGACTACTGTCTGGATTGGACAAGCTAATAATCAATTGAGGTTGCTTAACTAATGAATAAGTTCCAATCCCATCTCAGATGCGAACATTTTACTACACAAAAATAGTAGTGTTTTCCTTGAATTATGTTTTTTTGTTGAAATACCAGTTAAGTGAATTTGTGAAGTAAAGAGTGAGTAAAACTACTGAAAGTTAATATAACCTAACCTAAAAATGATTAGTAATCGTAAATGATAAGCATATTTCGTATCTTTCAGAAACATATGAATGAGAGACAGGCATCATTACCTTTACTCAGATATTTAGAACCTAAAAAATCTAAAGTAAGTGACAATCAAACTGTAACTATAATTACATCGCAAGACGCCTGGTGTTTGATAACCAGTTCATCTAGCTGCATTGCAGTAAAAGACAGAAGACGAATCTCGTTTGTGATCGATGTCAAAGCTTGGCTTTGTAACTGACCACCTTGTTTATTATGATATTCGAGAATTGAGTCTTCTGTTGATCCCTATTTTCCTAGGGGGAGATTCATCACCTTTAATGTTGATTTACATATCTATGATACGCAGATGGTGAATTTCACACTGCAAAGTGTTTTTATCACATGATTTGGTTGGTAATGAAGGAACGTTATTCAATATTATGAATTCTCACATCATATAAATTTCAAAAAATCTTGGTAGATATTCCAATTTTTTTTTACCAAAAAATTAACATGCTTGAAGGGATTTGGAGGATTTGAAATAGAAAAATATGACAACACTTCTATAGTCCAAGTGCACTAGGGGGTATTCATTTCAAACCTTTTAACAATTATTTTTCTATATGAGAGAAATGTTCTGACATCAAGAAATTCACACAGAATGCCAACAACTGAATTCAGTTCATTGGCAATTTCCTCCTTCACAATTTAAAATCGAAGTTTGCAATGAAATTGTCATTCTAGCATCACTTACTTCATGAATTCAGAGCTGCAAGAAGTTTAGTGATTGGCTTTGGAAATAATAAATCGAAGGAACACAAAAGATGACAAGATTCATCAGTAGAGATAAATATACATGAATCCAATATGATACTTACAAAAATTTTAATCGGACAATCATGAGCCTGGAGAGATGTGGCCAACTGAATGCGTTGGACTAGTTATAAAGGAATTAGTGCTACCAGTATAAACAAAAATGATTAAATCAAATATTGATAACGTACGTATATCAGTATTAGGAAGAGGCAGGTATTAAGTGTGGTTAGCATGAAATCTTTGAAAATTATAGAAAAAAAAACGGTTTCTGTATATATCGGAGATTTCAAAGAAACTAATTTTGGAAGTTCAAGAAAACGTCACCAATATTGGAATTTTTCCCAACAAACAGTTCAAGAATCCAAAAGAACATATAAGACTGAAGGGGTATAATAAAAATTACTTAAGTCAGCTCTCATCTTGACGGTTTAGAGAAGAAACAAAATTTCTGCAGAAACATTGATAATTTTGAAGATTTTCCACTGTTTTCTTATTCAAATCATGTTAAATTTTCAACTTTTTATTCCTCTTCAGCATATAAGTATGTTAGAAAACATTTGGAAAGAATGCTATGCCACTCTTAAGCACCTTGTTGAAATGGTGTAGTTTGGTGGACGTTTCTCCTGGTTTCACTGCTGAAGCTATAAGAGCTGTAGAAATTATAACAAAGGTAAAAAAATGTGAAAGGAAACCACACTTGTAGCAGGCCTAGTATTGGATGAAATACTCCTCAAAGAAGAGATTTTAGACATACAGGATATATTAATAATGGAATCTCCTAAGGAGAAGGTTAACTTGGTTAAAGGATGCCTATTTCAATTGAAAAGCACATAAATCATTATCAAAAGCTTGACGTTTGATGCAATCACATCAAAAATATCCATGTCTAGCATCCTTGGAGTGGAGAAATCTGTGTTTTCCTTTCCTAACAACAAGCTTCATTTTTCACCCAGTTACGAATGAAAAAATTTGTATAATTCAAGATGCCTACCATTTGATAAAGCTATCCAGAAATACTCTCGGCGACTGTTTTTTTTACAATGCACAAAAAGGTGTGATAGATTAGGACAATTTCGTCAAATTGGTGAAGTTACAAGATGGAGCTGGACTCATGCAGCTTGTAGCGGAATGGCTAACATACTCATTTTTATTTTCTTAATTTTGCCTCACCCTGTACCCTAAAAACGACTTCAATATGATTGCGCCCTCTGTGGTGTGTTGGAGCGATGGAAAGGGACGAACGTTGTTGTTGTTGCATTGTTTTTCTATGTGGTTGATTGTCCGCCATTCTCGACTGCCCAGTTCAACTGTGAATTATTCGTTTTTTGCTGATAATATTTATGTTTATCACACCGCATAATATCGTGCTTCTTGATATACGGATTAGCTTCGATTCCAAAAACTGGTACCAATCTCAGGGCTCTGATGAGACAGCCGCAATCCACTCAAGGTAAGTCGTCTTTGAGGGATTTACTTTAACATTTTGTTAAGTATCATAACGGTATACAGTCCCTACTGTTCCTATTACCGTTCCGTTACATGGTACTCCGCTACTCAAATACAAAGTGGAAGACTACATTATCAAAATGAAAAAATGAAGGTGAAGCTCGCTGTGTAAACCTTTAGTGCAAATATAGTCGATGTGAATGAATTTTGTGAAACATATTTGAAAATTTGAAGGAAGTCCTTTACTTGTAACTCTCTGTAGACATATGAAAGATATATTTAGTGTTCTTTATAGCAGCGATTTTCTCTCTAAACTAGTTACGAAAAAATATCTTTTTTGGTAACCGTCCAGGAAGTATCCACCTCTCGGATGCTTTTTCTTTGAGAAAGCATTTTTCCGAACTAGGCCGGGAAGAGTCACATTGTTCTTGTCATTGTAAATATGAAAATCTTCGTAGGTATGGTTTTGATAAATGCAGTTTTTAATTATCACAGCGACTGACAGCTTTATGACATGAAATTAGTTGACATTTCGATTTTTTAAAGTTTGTATAGTTTTCGTTCGCAATTATCGTAATAAACTATGGGAAGCAGCAGCTATAGTGAGTTTCAATCAATTAATCATTTATTTCCCATAATTGACAACATACATTGTATAGGGATAGTCACAGATACTACACAACTATAAAACTTACAAACTAATGAGTGTATATTACAAATAAGTAAATGGGCTCATTTAACTTTTTTTTTAATTTCATTATTTGAAAGTTTATGTTTCAAATAGTACATCTGCAAATAATCTGAAATTTCACTCTTTATCTTCCCCCTCAAATTAATAGTTGAATGTGGTCAAGCTTGACGTCACATCAGTCGACTCGGCAACAAGGGAGTGCTGGCGGCGATGGCAGCGATTTATAATCTCCAACTACAGGCCCTACAGAATGGGGTTGGAAGTTGATCAACAATTCATTAAAACCAGTCTAAACTTTACCTCTACCTGTGTCGGAAAAACTGCTGAACACAATTTTTTGCAACTGAAAAAAGGGGTGCAGTGCTAAATGTGGTTGCAAAAAAGCCGGACTGTTTTGTTCTCTGGCATGTACACATTATCAAGGCCGGTCATGCTCTAATATTGAATCACTAACAGTGGTTTGATTCCAACAAGGCGACATGCGATACATCGCTATTAACGCAGTTTACATGTACTCAGGATGAAGATTAAGAAGAACAAAACGAACAAGAAGATCAAGAAGAAGAACAAGAAGAAGAATTTGAAAGTTACGACTCAGACAATGATTAAATTTCACAACTTTTTTTTAACTTGAATTGCTTTTATTTTTTCAATCTCTGCAAATATCCATTATTTTGCAATAGTTTCAAATTAAACAGGATCACAACTGATCCGTGGAATAGGCCTACTGGGGAAACCACGTTAAAAAAACGCGCTAAGTACACTACCTCATAGGTGGCGTGGAAACGTGTGCATATTATGACGATTACAAGTTTTACAATTTTTTGAATCGTTATATCTCAAAAACGGTGGCTCGTAGGAAATTTGTATTAATCGCGAAATTCGGCTGTTTCCTATTCTGATTAAATATATGGAGCGCTCCTCGTATCAATATATTTGGTCGGTCGCTGAAACAGTAGCAGAACAATAGGAATTCGATATATAGACTCGCTACAGAAAGCATCTCAGGTGATTCGACAACCTACTCAATAAATTGAGAAAGTTAATGGCCAGCTAGTGTTGTGTGGTCCAACGGGTTCTTACGATCATTCTCCTGGAACCAGAAGTTTCTCTACAAGCCGCTACTGGAGCCGACATACATTTAGGTGAGAACCACAGCCACGTAATCTCTCTCGCTCCTTTTTTGTGTCCTGAACAAAATTCTATTGAGAACTTCCTCAAAACATACAATCCTATGTTATACTACAGTCCACTTATCTAATGAAGCTACATGTTTTTGGTCCCTCGACCACGGATATTCTTTTGTGATTTGAAGTAGTGCTCAAGAATTTTGAAATATATTTTGAATGTATTATAGGCAAATACATAGTTTATCTCGTTTTATTGTGATGGATCGTGTTGTAATCGTTTAGGATTACGATTTGATAATATACCTCTCTACAAGGAATTAGCTCTATGAATTCTACTTCTACCAAAGCAGTCCCTTTATAAATACGATCTTGCTACAACACTGAATCAACTCTTCAACTCAAAGCCGTCGT